CGAGCCCCAGGACTTCTTGCACTGGGTGCTGGACACGATGGGCAGGGCCGCCTGCTGCAGCTTGTCAGGAGTGTTGCTGTCTGCAGGGACAGGAGGACGCGGGTCAGGGCCCTGTGGCCCACCCAGCCCACCCTGCATGAAAAAGACCGGGGCCCGCCTGGACACGCCTGCCTGCCCCTGTGCCATCTGCCTCTCCACCGTGGGGACCACAACGGAAACTTCCCCTGGATCCTTGGGCTCACAGCTGCTCTCAGATTCCACACTAGTTGGTCGGGACCTTGCCTCAAGCAAAGGTGTTCAAATGGACCCTGCTCTGCCCAGCGCAGCCTTGGCCCTGGCACTGCCAGCCACTGCGTGGTGGGTGGGAGGGGCCATCATTTCCTTTCCAAGGAAGGGGTCCAGTTCCTTCTGATGGACCTGCCTCTCTCAGCACCTGCCTGCTCCTCCCCCCTCGGTGGCTTCTGTCCTGTAAAAGGATAGGACGAGGGATCCAGCCGGGGTGTGCTGGGCTTGGGTAGCAGAACTCGGGACACTGGAGGAAGAACATCAGCCAGAGCGAGCAGCGGGCAGGAGAGCTCCTGGGTCTCATCCGCAGGTCCCTGACCAGACCTGGGAATGTGACTCCCGGCCAAGACTCCTGGCGAGCTTGACACAGCCACGTGGCTAGTCTGGACAGACGTCCAAGCTGGAAAGCCGGTGCTGCCCCTCACTGCAGGCCAGGGGGGCCGTGCTGGCTTGTCGTCAGAGTTCCTTCAGAAACCTCCTGTCCGAGGACATCATTGTCAGCCCTTGTTTTTATAATGTCTTGTGGATTTTTAAGGCAGGGGACTTTAATTATACAAATGGAAAGATTTAAGACTGTGTTGAAATTTAGACCCAAAGAAAAAGCCATATGGGTCACATCCTGCACCTCCCGCTGCTCGGGGCAGCCCCAAGCCCAGCAACAGCGCCTGCCCCTGCCAGGCCGGGTCCTGCTCACTTTTGGGGTTGGTCAAGCCCCAGCCTGTGGTGACACACAGCTTCCCAGCGGGGAAGTCATCACTGGAGCTGGGCAGGCACACAGCGGACACTTTCTCGTTGAAGGTTGCGGACGTGGACAGCTTCACCAGGGTGATGTCGTTGTTGATGGAAATACTGTTGTAACTGGGGTTCTTGAAAACCTGTGAGTGAGACCAGAACCCCAGGTGAGCCCCTGGAGGAGCCGGGATCTGCAGGTTTCCGGACTCAAACTCCTTTCCTGGTGACCGGATCAGGAAAAATGGACCCACAGGAGCCCAGAATGAGAATTCTCTGGCCAGCCCCACTCTGCTCCTGTCCCTCAAGCAGCCGAGGACTCTTCTCCCACGTGTCCCCCTCATCCCCACCCCCTCGTCTGTCGTCTGAACCTCCTGGATCATCCGGCAGGGTCTGGGCATACCTTAGAGATCTTCAAGACCTGGGCGTCCTCCTCGTTAGCGCCCTTGTTAAAAACCCCAGCCACAACGCGGTCCGATGTCCTGCACAAAGCATTCAGGGCTTGAGGGCTCGGCACGTCCCCTGCTCCCCTACCCTTCCCGACCACAGCTGGAGGCAGAGCCCACGGCTGCCCGGCACTCACGTGACCCCGCAGTGGGCAGCGGTGACCACCCAGTTTTCACTGATGAGGGAGCCCCCGCAGAAGTGGAAGCCGGTCTTGTCCTGGGGAGGAAGATGGGAGGGTCAGCAGCTCCCACCTGGGTGGCACCCCCAGCCTGGCCAACACCCCAGCGTGCCTCCCAGGTGCCCAGAATCCCCCTCTCACCTGCAGGGACACCTGCCAGGGCCAGGAGCCAGGGACAGCTTCCTCCCCGTTGACGATCCTGGATAGGCCGCTCACCACTGGGGAAATGGCAGGGACCCCGCAGCCTGGGGGATGGGAGTGGGGTGAGGGGTGGCGGTCCAGGTTGACTCTGGGCCCCCTCACTCACGTCCCAGCGTCCCAGCCTCCTGTCACCGCCAACACTCTCCCGAAGCCTCTGGGGTTCAGCCTGGCCCTGCTCCTCCCGCCCCAGCCCAGGAGTCCTGCAGGGACAGCTTGGTCTGCCCTGTGCTGGGCACTCGGACGCACAGGAGTCAGACTCAGGCCCCTCCTTAGGCTAGGTGAGCCAACCAGGTGGAACTGAGGTGGCGGCAGGGCCGTAGCGAGGGCTGAGGGGCCCTGTCCTGCCTGGCTAATCCACTGTGAGTGTCCGTGTCCCCGTCGTTCTGTGCTCCTCGCACAGCTGTGGCCTCACAGGGGAGGCGTAACGATGCAGGACGAGCCAGCAGGGGACGCGCCCTCTCTGTTCCTGGCACACAGCAAGCACTCAGTGAACAGGACTTTAAAAGGACAGGGTTCCAGGTCCAGAGAGGTCTGGGTTCGAAGGGGCCCAGCCACAAGGGCCACACGCTCACCACTTTAGCCTGCGTGGGAGCTAACGACCATTGAGAGTATATTCTGTGCCCCGAGATGTGTCCTCCCTGTCCCTTGCACAGGGTGCAAGCCCTCGGGGCAGCCCCAGGGACGTCGACCTCCTCCCCTGGGCGCCTCAGACTGGCGGGTGGTGGGGAAGGGGAGCGGGGCTCCCCAGCTGCTAGGGTCGGAGGTGGCATCTGAGATGGCCACGGAGCCCGTGGTCTGGTCCAGTCGTCCAAGCGTCCCCACTGTGGCGGTGGGGTCGGGGAGGCTCGCAGGGGGGACAGTGACTGGTTGGGCTCCCGCCGCTGTGCGCAGCTGAACTGGGAGCAGGCCCTCGGGGTTGGGGGTGAAGGGAGACAGGCTTCCCACCTCCACCAGGCTGGCACTTACTGAGAGCAGTGCCCAAGAGGGCCCAGCAGGAGAGGAGCCAGAGGAAGGCCATGGTGCTGTGGTCAAGGTAACGGAGGTGTCGGGCACCTGCCTGGGGCTCCCTGTTATATCCCTGTGTGCCAGGCTGTTATCTGGAGACCTTGAGGCGATAATCCCTTCCCTGGGAGTGTACCTGCGAGGCAGGGCTGGCACGGGGGCCTGGGATGGCAGCAGCTGCGGCCACAGCCTGGCCTGGGGCTGGGGCCAAGGGGCAAGGTGAGGCTGGAAAAAGTGGCCCTTTTTTTTTTTTTCCATTTTTAGTTCCCCTTCTTAATGAGGTGGCCTTTGACCTGCAGCCTTCCTCCTCCAGGCCCTGCCTTGTTAGGGGTCCGCCATGGCTTGAGTCTGGAAGCCCCAGATCTGAGCCCAGCCTAGTGTCTCGTGGTCTGGAGAACCTCGGACAGATAATTTAGTTGATCTGTGAGTTGTTCAAAGGCCTCTGGGGCAGTGTGGTCAAGGAGGGGAGAGGTTGGGGGACCAGGCTCGCACCCCGCAGTGCGGGACACAGGCTTGGGTGAGGGCATGGGTGGCCAGGGGCTGAGGACGCTCCACCTGGTCTCAGGGACGGCCAAGAAGGCTCAGTGGAGGCTCAGTTCAATGTCTTTGACCATCGCTTGGGCTGTGTGCAGAGCGGCTGACAGGGACAAGCCACCCACTGCCCATTCACGCTGAGCTGGGCCCCTTCGCACAGAGGCCAGAGTGCATGGGCCCCTGGAGGTGAGCGTGTGGCTTCCTGGGGCAACACTGGGCTTAGGGACCAGCCAGGGGACCCTGCTGTCACTCTGATGAGAGCCAGTCGAGGCAGGACCTCAAGGTTTAATGGCGGGGCAAGGAAATGTGGTTCCTGGCTTGGGTGACAGGGTGTAACGTCGGGCCCTTTCCCAGCAATTGGGAAACTGGGGAGGAAGAAATCTGGGGTTGAGGTTGGCAGACTCCGGGCAAGCCCCCCCAAATAAACAGGAAAATATCTCATGGCTGTTTGTAATTTCTGTTGCACGAGTGACCGTGACAGGTTTGTTTACGGCACAGGTTTTAGTCCCAAAATCCTGTGGAGCCTTGGGCAAGTTACCTACCCTCTCTGATCCTGCTTCTATGTGTGTGAATGGGGATACTTATAGAATGGGTCCCACATGACAACAGGACACAACCCCTCTTGACAGCACTAGGACCAGGCCTGACACCTAGTCCACGTCGGTCAGTCCTGGGCATTGCTTTTTCTTGAATTGGTTGCCTGGTCGTGCCCTTTGTTCATTCTAGACCATGACTGATGACAGAGGGGCGGCCACAACGTGTGGCTGGAGGTAGAGTGGCCCGGCGCGAGTGGCAGGGTCCATGACGGGTGTTGACACCTGCCCGTCTACCAAGCTCCGCCCGCCAGCCCCTCCTGGAACAGACCGAGCTAAAGAAACGCGCACATTCCTGTCCTAAGCACGCGCACAGGGACGGGGCGGGGAGCTCAGGGAAAGGAAGCATAAGACATCAGTAAAACACACGTCCCCACCGGCTACGGAGACGTCGTGATCATCATCGTTATCGATGCCACGGCCAGCAGGGCCTCACTCTGTAGGGACATGGAAGGGAACAACCTGAGTTTACAGGAGTGGCCAAGCGCCCCTGTGGGGGAGGAGACGGCGTGCAGGCCGAGGGGACAGCCAGGGCAGGTGTCCGGGGTGGCAGGAAGCTCGGGAGGCCCGCGTGGCCCGAGGGGAGTGAGGGGCTGAGACACCGGAGGCAGGGCGGGGCGGTCCAGGGGACGACGCAGAAGCGCCTGGTGACCCGGTGAAGACAGGGCGCTGATGCCAGCTGGCAGCCACCGGGCACGTGGTGCAGGGGCGCGGCGGCCACACCCCGGCAGCCCCCAGC